TTTGAAGTGCATCACACCATCAGGGGATAAGCAGAATATCCTCGTGAAAAATGAATGTACAATCCGAAACAATAGGCACATCCTTGCAAAAGGAAAACTAGATGAACAGCTATACAGATTTATCACTGCAGATGAACAAGTCAAGACAGCCACTCATAGACCACACAACAAATGTATCCATCTATGGCACAGATGACTAGGGCACTGAAACCCAGAAGCCATAAAATACATTATAAAGAGAGGCTTATCAGAAGATAACCATACTGCCCTGCCAAATGCTCATGACATGCAAATGCTGTATGGAAGCAAAGGCCATCCAAAGAAAGACCACCCACCCCATGAAGCTCCTACACAGTGACCTGTGCGGATTAATGAAAACTCCAACATCAGGCGCGAATAGATATCTACTGACTTTCATGGATTATTCCAGGTGCACAACTTATCTGATGAAGCACAAGAATGAAGCATCAGAAAAACTTCAAGAGTTTATAGCCATGTCCAGCAACAAATTCCAATGAAAACCTGGAATTATAAGCACCAACAGCGGAGGGGAATACATCAGGAAGGAAGTGTAATCATACCTGAAGAAATAAGGTATAGTACACCAGACTACCACACCATACACTCCTGACCAAAATGGCGTAGCAGAACGGAAGAATCACACTCCTATAGAAATGGCCAGATGCATGTTGTCAGACGCCAACCTACCTAAGAAGTACTGGGGAGAAGCAGTCATGACTGCAACATACCTACAGAACAGATTACCTTCAAATGCCATTGAAAGCACCCCATTTGAAATGTAATATGGATCGAAGCCTAGCCTAGGGGACATCAGAGTGTTTGGATGAGAAGCTTATGCATATATTTCCGATGAGAAGCGATCCAGATTGGAGAACACAGCCATTTAAGGCATACTGATGGGCTTTAGTGAACAAAGTAAGGGATATAGAATCCTTCATCCAAAGACTGACAAAGTGATAATAGGTCGTAGTGTTTATTTCGATGAGAACCCATCACCAGAAACAATGATCCCGGGAAGTTGTGATGTGAATTCGCCCAGGGAACCAGCAAAGGAAGCTGACCAAAGTGAAGCTGCACAGGAGTCAGAACAAGAAGTGGAACTCACAATGGATACGTCCAGTTCCATGTTAAATTCTGCTGAACAACCTGAAATTAGAAGATCCACTCAAACAACATAGGGAATACCACCCTGCAAGCTGTTATATACAGCTAAGACACACAGCATACTCGAACCAACATCATGGGATGATATAGAAAAATTACCAAAACGCAAAGCCAATCAATGGAGGCAGGCAGCAGAAGAAAAAATAAAATCACTCCAAGAAAATAAAACCTGGACAATCAAGAGCAAACTATTATCGACATGCAATTTTGCTCATCAGAAGAAATGACTGCGGATGCACTCACCAAGCCATTGCCAAAGGATCCTCACAGTTTCCTTTGAGAGAAGCTAAACATCATATAGCAACACATATGCTGTTAAGAAGGGGTGTTTGGAAATGCAACAGCATATTCCTAATATTTTGATATGTACTGATTGTATTGCTGTTGTTCAGAGATATAGAATTGTCTTTTTTGGCACTAGATGGCGCTGTGGTGAAAAGCTTGTCTGTATGTTAGTTTTCTATATGCATGCTTACTTATCTATGATCTATATGTTTCCAGTGTGATGCTGTATTCCCACATACATATATGCAACGTTATTCTAAGCAAGTAAAACGTCAGTATTTAATAAATAGTAATACATTCAGCATTCCTTAAGATTTCAGTGCTTCATCTAAACACATAACCAACACTCCTAACCCTCATTACATTCTGCCCGGCTTCCTGATTGCCCGGGAAGCGGGCTCCATGTTCCCCCTATGGCACAGTATCGGGGAAGGATTTTTAAATGAAATGGGCATAGCTTGCTTGCAACTAGACTATCTCTATAATGTTGTATATGGGTACTCATAGGGGAATTTTGTATGAATTTAAATGTGATGGGGGGAAACTTGTTTGTACCTGCAATCTATTATGTTGTATGCTGATTGGTGAATCTTTAGAGACCCATAGCCAGCTGTCAATCAGGTGGTGTTATGGATCCCGAAAATATTGTCAGGATCTTTCCTGGCTGCAGAGTGGCTCTGCGCTGTCAGCATATAGTGAGCAATAGCCCACTATATGCTGATTTTCGGGTCACAGGAGGACATAGTAAATGTCCACCTGTGACCCTAAAGAGAACTATGGCCAAAAAAGGTTGCTGGCAATTTTTTTTGTCAATTTAAGCTGCTTTCTGTTTCCAAATACGCAAATGCAATCATAAGTAATTGCCATAATTTAAAGACCCTACCAGCCCTTATTAGGTTGCACACTAAAATTTGGTCGATTGTGAAGTGAAAATTGGGCAATAAATCAGCAGCTTCAATATAGTTCACTGAAAGATTGAACTGAAATCAGAAAAAAAATCTACAGCAATGTTTTCATAAGTGACATTTTTTTTCAGGTTTGATCGGGGCAATTCCAATCTCATCTCGCTGTTGTCAATCGAAACTGCCATTTTATATCATTAATTGCTTTGTGGTTTTAACAAATAATTAAACTGAATCGTTCTATCAAATTGCCATGAGTATGGTCAGCTTTAGTTTATCAATGACTACATCCTTATACAGCCATCACTGCAATGTCATTATTCTAACTGACTCGCATGGTTCGATAATTATTTGTTTTTGACACGTGGAAATGGAGGAGTTCTTTGCTGGAGCACACACATTTATAGAGCGATTATCAGATGAATTATCCCGTCAAATCAAAAGCATAAGAATACTGAATAACTACTGCAGGCTGTCTGATGGATGAAGCTATCATTTTATCCCGGCTGCATAATTGACTCTAACATTTGGAAATGAAGTGTCAAGTCACAACATTGTCTGCATTTCACATGGTAAGCACGAGCACACGTTATACTGGATTTCAGGTGAAAGTTTTTACTATTTTCATTTGTGACTTTAATAGACTGTCACCAGGCCAGTCGTTTCAACAAAAATCTTTCCATTGGATTACATGTGCATTTATCCAATTTTATGCATATTATTTACCTGTGAAAGCCTCCCTTGTGTAGACATCCAAAGATTGCTGTTGGGTGTCGGTATCTCGGATGTAATGGCAGCAGCCCCAGAAGGCTCACAGCTGTCACGCTATGCTTTTCCCCCTCATTACTCCAGAAGCTGGTACAGACATGTAGGGGGACGAGGGGAGTGGGTAGATGAGCTGGGCAAGCACTTAGAGTAATTAGACACTTACAAAAAAGGAGCATTGAGGAAGGGGCTCAGGAAATAACTCTTCCTGTAGTAGTCAAATTTGCTAGCGAGTTCAGAGGCTCATTGCAAGTTGCAGGTAGAAAAAAAAATCATTCATGCTCAATGCATTCATCAGCAACTCAGTAGTTTGAAAAGGAGATAAGGGTTTGGCTGTTGAAGTTTCACAAAAAGTTAACATTTGCAATTAATTAACAGCACTGCTTAGGCAACTTAGACTTCATGTTTTGGACGAAGAAGGAGTGCGTCTGAAACAGTTGACAGTGCATATTGTGAAGGTACCCCTACGTTCACATGCATGGGGAATGGACAGGTTTTACAATGCAAAGGTTGACCATTTAAAAAAAAGCAAACGGACACTTACCATGAGTGGTACTCGAGGTACCTGTATGTCATTTCATATTTTGTGTATAGTGCAATAGCATATAGCGGTGTGCTCTTTTCCCGAAAAATAAAATCCAGCTTCATGCTCAGAAGCTCTGGCCCTCTGGGTGGCTACTGATAAGGCTGCCCAGTACTGAGACACAGGATGTAGTAGGAAGAGAGCAAGAGTCACTGATCAGAAAGCTGGTAGCAGTTGTGTTCGAATCTGAATTTCTGTTTCCTGTCCGAATTTCGTTCAACAACGAAACTGAATCAGGCATATGATATTTCAGATGTGTTTTTGGGTTTAATGCATCCGAATGGGTCTGAAAACAAATTTTTGTTAAGGCAGCATGGGAGCCATATACAATATATACATATAATAGTAAAGCTGAGGCTCCTAGAACCGAATGGCATTCGGGATCCAAATTTCCGAATTGCATCCAGGAGCTCCTGAATGCCATTCAGGTCTGGGAGCCTCAGCTTTAGTAACATATGTATATGGCTCCCAGACCTGAATGGCATTTGGGAGCTCCCGAATGCAATACGGAAATTCGGATTCAGTTTTAGTATTAATATTTGCAAATGGTTTTCTGTGGTATTCGCAACGAATATTCATAAACTCATCCGAAACTAACGAAAATTCGCATTTCGCCTGAATCTGAAACCCGAACCGAATTGAATTGAATCCCGAAATATCCGAACCAAATTTTTCATCAGCTTACATGTCTACTGGATTTACACTGCTGTCTCTTAATTCTTATTAAGTGTTTTTGGGGCACAAAAGGGTTCAAATGCCCTTTTTATTTATTGTATTTATTTTTTGCAAATGCAAGTAGTGTAAGTATCTACATTTAATTTGGTACCAGTCTCTTGCTGTCTATTGTATACAGAGCTCAGACTGGGAGAGAAAGGAGCAGCACAAGAAGCCAATCAGTTTTGTTGAGGCAGACAGAACAATGAGAAAGACATGAGCTTATCAGTCTGCTGCTTCTCCTTAACTGTCCAAATCCAGGCAAGACCTGGAAGTGTTGCTTATCTACAGCAGGAAAAAAATTGGTCTCCTGCCCTGCCATACACAGCTGGGCTATTTTGGCAGAGCTGTAAAAATCTCAGGACTGGGTGGACAGAAATACAGTAAAAACCCTTTGACAGGTAAAACAGTGCCCATATATGTATTTCATATGTTTAGCATATTGCATGGAGTTCAGCCTTAAATAATGGTTATATTTAGTTCTACTCGTTGTACATCAATAAATATCCTCATTTTTGAGAACTTTCCTTTAACTGTACTCCCAATAATGATCTCAGGTCTCTCACCTCCCTCGGCAGAACAGATGAACACGATATCACTGAAGGGGCCATCGCCTTTATTATTGTACACTCCAACTTTCACTTCAAAAGGCGTGAGCAGCGGTGTGCTTTCATCTCTGTAGATAAACTTCGAAGCATCGGAGGAGGTCACCATTTTCTCTTTCCATCCCCTGGTGTCATTCGGCCTGAATGCCACAATGTAACCGAACCCCTCGCCGTTCTGAAATTCTTCCGAGACGGGCTGCAGAAAGTCAGCGCATTATTTATTATTACACAAGGAGATCGGAGTCCTGTGTCCACATAAGCACATGACATTGCAGGTTGAGTAAATATAAGGAATAATGTCTCAATAAAAAAAGGATTGTATTCGAATGGACATTGCCGAAATATATTAAATAAGGATAATCATACCTCCCACGTTATCACCAGTTCATGGCGCCTTCCGCTTCCACCGCTGACATTTGCTGGTGGAGTCTTGGGCACTAATTCATCTCTGTAGATAAACTTCGAAGCATCGGAGGAGGTCACCATTTTCTCTTTCCATCCCCTGGTGTCATTCGGCCTGAATGCCACAATGTAACCGAACCCCTCGCCGTTCTGAAATTCTTCCGAGACGGGCTGCAGAAAGTCAGCGCATTATTTATTATTACACAAGGAGATCGGAGTCCTGTGTCCACATAAGCACATGACATTGCAGGTTGAGTAAATATAAGGAATAATGTCTCAATAAAAAAAGGATTGTATTCGAATGGACATTGCCGAAATATATTAAATAAGGATAATCATACCTCCCACGTTATCACCAGTTCATGGCGCCTTCCGCTTCCACCGCTGACATTTGCTGGTGGAGTCTTGGGCACTAAAAAAAAAAAAAAAAAAATTGCAATAGTAAACCTTAAAATAATAAATCCAATATTACCAATAGGCCAGTGTAGAGGGTATAAAGGAAAGGACAATTACTGATTTTGCTGGGTGAAATATATTACAGTGCAATCTGTTTTGACCTGGTAGTCTGTATATTTAGATCCTTGGTTCTCAACTGGTGAGTGGTGACCCAACAGTGGGTCGCGGCCCCATGTTCAGTGGGTTGTCGCATGCCTTCCACTTTTTTAGGTGAGAGGCTACTCCGCCTCCCCTAGCGCAGCACTGTCAGTTCTCACGCCGAGCAGCCATTCAAAATATGCTGCCTGGCGGCGAGTGTCAGCTTGAGGTGGGCTGGAGCTATGGTCGCGAGTGAGCTCCATCCATACGTGCATTGCTTACAGCTCCCTCCCCTGTCCTGTAGAGGTACCTGGACCGGAGTGATACACATTCTGGCTCCCGACACCTCTACAGGGAGTGCAAAGGAGCTGTACAGGCAATGCACATATGGATGGAGCTCCGTCACAGCACAGCAGCCCACAATGGACCCCAGGCTAAGGATCCACTCCACTTATCATAAGGTAGGGAGACTGGGTGGACCTTAAAAAAAAGTGTAGAGTGTGTATGTGTGTGTGAGAATGTCTGCGAGTGTGTGAGATTGTGTATGTACGTCAGTGTTTTTAAGGGCCCATTTACAGAGGGTTAAACTCTACCACGCAATTGCACCTACTACGCATTCTGGTGCGGGAGATGTGTTGCTTTACCATTCATTTAAATGAAACAACAAAGGAACCTTCCACCTACAGTTCCAGAACGTGCGGTACCCTAATGCCGTACATTTCATTGCAGGGCGACTTGTGTCCCAACTTTATAGGGACGCCAGGGGCGTTCAATATGCATATGCTTGGATGCATGCCCAAGCTTCTGAATGTACCGGAGAATACTTGGTGTACAGCCATTGATGTCTATGGGTGGTATTATGCAGCTCCTTTGGCTTCCCAGGCAGGAAGCTATGCCCAAATGTTATATGTAGAGCCCCCATGAACCTGTTTCTATGAGGTCTTAAAACAGTTTTTTGCAAAAAGTTCAATTTTTCATACTTTAGTTTTTGTAGTAAACTGATATTAAAGTTTTTAAGCTATTTCAAATACTTATGAAATCCCTTACAATAGATGCTGCTTCTTGATGGCCTCAGGGCAGCAGAGAGTAGAGGGGCAGCCGGGGTGTGGACTTCCTATCTCCCGATGCCCGGGACATGCAGTTGCGGGCGCCGGGTGGGTAGTAGCTTTCTACATTTAGCCCTGCTTTGGGCAGTCAGGGCTAAATGTACAGCGGGGAAGCTGCCGCTTGTTCTGTACAAGCTATCTTGGCGATGTCGCCGAGATCACTTGTATGCAGCCTGCATACAGGGAGGCGCATTGAGGAACCTGGCATTGGGGCAGCAGAGAGAGTAAATCCGGCCCTGCCTACAATAATATGTACTGCCTGAACATACTCTATCATTCCCCTTTAACATGTTCTCGGAATGAATATTATTTTATTAATTGCTATGTTCATTTATGCATTTTTCTATGCACATTATCTCTCCAAGGGCAGGTATTCATCTAAACAACTAATGCATTCTGAAATCAAGCCTGGGCTTCAGTTGAATTTTCACGCCGTTAAATCTGCGAGCGCCACACATGCTTATTAATAGCAAGTTTGATCATGAGGCTCCGATCTACACATTACGCAGCCAGACGCTGCTGGTTTTACACCAACACGCGGCTCGTATCATTCAAGCCGTAGTGTGTAACTATCAGTATAATTTATCACCACGCTCATACAGTTATAAAACTTGCATATTGACACATAATTAGTATATTCCCAGCCTTCTGCATATTAATTGTTTATAATGAGGCGCATAAAGAAGGCCAACTCACTCTAATGACAAGCAGGAACGACACAACATTTCATATTGCTCCGTCTTTTCCTGACAGTTCAGAACAGATGTACAGATGGCGAGCCCAAATAAAAGTGCCGAAATCAGACGAGAGGAAATCTTTGCAATATTGGAGGAAACTGGAATTACCATAACTAACGCAGGAACAAAAAAGAGCTACGAGTTTTCAAGCCAACTTGACTGTGTAATCCGCTGCCAGCCTGGTCTGCTGTTGACCTTGCCCTAAAAACGGCTGCTTTGAATTTGTTTTTTTGGCCCCAGACTCTGTGTGCCGTTCAAAAATGTGGGATATGACATGCATCCTTCACCGTTCCTTTTCAAGGGAAACTACAGTAGCTGATATTTAATGTGTCTCCATCATAAATCTGTTTAAGAAGAAATCCGGGCACATTTTTTGTTAACCCTTGCAGTGGGGCTAAATTTCTGCTCATCTGAACATCGGAGCCAGCTTGCTCTTAGACCGGTCCTTCCAGCCCCTCCACTGCAGCGGTCTAAGCTCCTGTGGGTCCTGTGTGAATATACCATATCCCACCTCAACCTAACCACTGAACCATCATATTCTGAAACAATTCATCCCCACACAGCTACCGCCTCATGTATCAGTTCTCCCTGCCTTTTAGACTGTAAGCCCTCAGGGGCAGGGCCCTCCTTACCATCTTGTCTTGAATTGTATTGTGATTGGAGGGAGCGCTGTAACAGCTGTCCAGCTCCAAGGATCGGGTGAGTATAACTTTGTTATTTTTCTCCCTAGGCGATAACAAGCAGTTAACCAGTGCAGTGCGGGGGTAGCCCCACTGCAAGGGTTAATAACACATACCTGTGGTAGCTTTAATTTCTGCTTGCATAGCCATATACTGGGCCATTCTTAACAGTTCTGATACTTTCAAGTAGTTCCCCCCTGTTTCTCCCAAAATTTCTTATTGGTTCATTACTATGACTGGCTGCTTCACTGCCAAATTGGATCGGTTTGGAGGTGGGTATCTAGTGCCTTAGAGGTGGTAACTTCTAAACTGTAAGCAGCTGCTTTACTTTTTAAGGTGACAGAGTCACTTTAAATTGGGGATGCACCGATACTAGTATCGGCATCAGTGCCGATACCAAGCATTTGGGGGAGTACTCATACTCGCCCAAATGCTCCACATGCCTATCCTGATACCGGAAATTATGGTATCAGGAAGTCGGGTGGCAAGTTATTACAAGCCAGCTCCATGCTCCCTTGCCACCAGGGAGCATGGAGCTGGTTTGCCGGGAAATCAGGAAGCTGAGGGGTGGGTAATGACTCGCCCCCCGGCTTTCTGATTGGCCAGGAAGACAGCTCCATGCTCCCTTGTCACTTGGTGATGCGGGAGCATGGAGCCAGTTTCCTGGCCAATCATGAAGCCAGGCGGCGTGTAATGACTGCCCAGCTTCCTGATTGGGCAGATTGGCCAGAAAGCCGGCTCCATGCTTCCTCATTACCTGGTGACGAGGGAGCATGGAGACGGCTTCCCGACTAATCAGGAAGCCGGGTCATTACATGGCTTCCTTAATGGGACATCCGGTATCGGTATTCGGCGAGTACCGGAAAAAAAAACTGGTATCGGTGCATCCCTACTTTAAATGTAAGTGAACATAATCAGTTTAACCCCATCACTGCTAAGGCATTTTTTTGCACACATTATAATGCACATTTTAAGCCTGAAAATGACTTAACAGATATGTTGCATGATATTATTGCAACTCTTTATCAAACTCCAAATTTCAGTAAAAAATTACACTTAAGTTAATTTAAGTGCACAAAAACACAATATAATACCCATTTTTTTGTAAAATATAAACAATATTTTTGTGCCGAGTAGATAGATACCCAACATCCCAAGCTTAAAAATTGTGTGCGTCTGTGAAACAGCAACAAAATATAGTACCCCAAATTGTCCATAGGTGACACTTTAATAGCCCGTACAATTTAGAGTTAACCCATGAATATTGGCCTTACAATGATTGCTGTCAATCTGGCACACGCGGCAATACCTTACATGTGTAGAGCAAACATTGTTTTTTTTAATTAGGTGCACCAGTGATCCACTGATCATGGTTGCAATGCTTTACTGGGTTCAAAGCAAATTAATAATAAATGTGCCTTTTTACTTTAGGTAGTGTGCTTTTTTGGGGGGGAAAATATATTTGCATTTTTCACACATAAAGATGCGCAACAAACATGAAAAAATGCACAATTAAAAATGTGCAACCCTATAGAACTCATAGAGGTACATGAGCAAATTGCCACATTTGATGCACATAGGGGAAGCCCAATAAAATAATGGGCTGCCCTATGTACGATGTGTAACATATACACATAAACACAAGGTTCGATTTGTGAATGGGGCGTAAAGAATATTTTTCCGTCACTGGCTTGAGTAAGCATCAGAACCGACCACTGTCTACCAGGGCTCCAAAGACTGCAGAGCAGGCGCCAAACATACACATACAGCTGTGGGTGGCAGGACGGCAACAAAGACCTCTCAGCAGAGTCCCTGTGGTGTACACTGTAATGCCTGCATTTCCCATTCTGTCCATCAGGAAAGCCGCTGCTAACATGTCATCTGGCCATTAGACAGAAGCAAGCAGTTTTAGTGTGTGGGCTTGGCTCCAATGTGTAGTCGTGGTGTGAGTTAGTGCCCAATGTGTAGCTGTGGTGCAGGCTGGTGCCCAATGTGTAGTGGTGATGCCGGCTGGTGCCCAAAGTGTAGTGGTGGTGCCGGCTGGTGCCCAAAGTGTAGTGGTGGTACAGGCTGTGTTATTACAATGCAAGGCATCGTTTCCCTTTTTTATATATATGTTTTTAATTTTTCTAAATGTGCTATGGTGCAGTGACAGAATTTGGCTGCAGATGAGCTGTGGTGCAGTGATGGAAGTTGGATGCAGGTTAGGTGTAAAGTGACCGGCAGTACCATGAGAAGAGGTGCGTGGCACAAAAATGCAACATGACCACTGCACAACATACCCCAACCCAACTCAAGTCAGCATTACGGTGTGAACAGGGCACATAGAAAACAATTGAATTTCATGTGCCCTGG